CACACACACACACACACACACACACACACACACACACACACACACACACACACACACACACACACACACACACACGGCGCTCCACAAATTAAATCCTGTCCCACTCTTGATCACACTTTCTTTTTCTTTTTTTCATTTCATCTCAAACGGCCTGGCTGACTGTCTCTTCCCTTAACGGCCATAAACAACCTTTAGGACTCTGCAGCGGGGAAATAGTTGATGGTGATGAGTGCAGCAATACTGACCTCCAGTGAGTTGAGGTTTATTAAAGAGAAGAGGAAGTTTTTCAGGTTTTATAGACACTTAAAACTCAACCAGCACGTCAATATACAGAGTTCTCTCTCGCTCTCTTATCGACTTATACATTTTCAGATGTTATTAATACTATTAACATTAATATTTTTGCATCGGTTTGAGATCATCTGGACAAAGCCTTATCACATTCCCACAATATGAAAATAATGTGTGCCGGGGGCGGGGCGGCAGTGGGTGAGTTTTATGAGAACAACACTTGGGGCATCATTAAGAGCGAGAGCGCACCATGCTGAAGGAAGGGGAGCTGCGGCTGGATGTCATTCAACTCCTGACGAACAGGAGCCGTGACAAAACTATACCAGGGGTGTCTTTCCAATTCAAGCAAGTTGTCTTGAGACACACCCGATCAACAGGCTGTAAGAGCCTCCAGAGACTTCGTTAACTGGGATTTTATTTTATTTTTTGCGTGCGCCCGTATCCATGTCGTCAGATTTGTAAATTAACCACGGAGGAGCGCGTTTCTGATGGACTCTAATGACAGGAGCATTAGAGATCTGAAAAGAACTGACAAAATCCAACCAGGATATACACACACACGCAAATATATGTAACAATGGATTCGTTCAACGCCAGCGGAATGGATGCGTTCACGGTGATCCATTTAAATTCCTCCTGGACGCTGGACAGTGGATATTCTTTAGCAGCGATAGCTGGCATCGCCGCTCTCGTAAGTTTTCTCATTCTTTTTACCGTTGTTGGAAATATTCTTGTGGTTATCGCTGTGTTAACGAGCCGGGCACTGAAAGCCCCCCAAAACCTTTTCCTGGTGTCTCTGGCCACAGCGGACATCCTGGTCGCCACTCTCGTGATGCCGTTTTCTTTGGCAAATGAACTCATGGGTTACTGGTATTTTGGAAAAGTTTGGTGCGGTATTTATCTGGCTCTGGATGTTTTGTTTTGTACTTCATCTATTGTGCATCTGTGCGCAATAAGCCTGGACCGATACTGGTCCGTTACGCAGGCTGTAGAGTACAACCTGAAGCGGACTCCTAAACGCGTCAAGTGCATTATCCTGATCGTGTGGCTTATATCTGCGTTTATCTCCTCTCCGCCGCTCATATCTATCGAAAGCAACAGTGAGATCAGCTCTCAGCCTCAGTGCGAGCTGAATGATGACACTTGGTACATCCTCTCCTCCAGCATCGCGTCCTTCTTCGCTCCCTGCTTAATCATGATCCTGGTCTATATCAGAATATACCAGGTGGCCAAAACCAGAACCAGAAGCATGTCAGGAAAAAACCCCAGGCCAGATGGCGTTACACAAACTGAGAATGGACTGAGCAAAGCCACCTCCCCTTTCCACGGCGAGAGGGAGAACGGTCACTGTCAGTGCCCGCCTACGCCCAGCCAACGCACCGTCACCGTCGGGCAACAGACTGAGGAGCCTGACATGGAGGAGAGCTCCTCGTCAGAGGGCAAAGGTCACAAGCCCCAGCTGCAGGAGTCCCAGAGAGCAAAGAGGATCAGCAACAAGAAAAGCTCGCTCTCCAAGCAATCCACTCGCATCTCCAGGGTCAGTAACAAGTCCATGGATCTGTTCACCTCCAGGAGGAAACGCCGTAAGAGCTCCCTAGCCAGGAAGAAGATCTCCCAAGCCAGGGAGAAGAGATTCACATTTGTACTGGCTGTTGTCATGGGAGTGTTTGTTGTTTGCTGGTTTCCCTTTTTCTTTAGCTACAGCCTGTATGGTGTGTGCAGGGAACCCTGTAGGATTCCCGACCCCCTCTTTAAATTCTTCTTCTGGATTGGCTATTGCAACAGCTCCCTCAACCCTGCCATTTACACCATCTTCAACCGGGACTTCAGACATGCCTTCCACAAGATTCTCTGCAAGTCCTGGAAAAAGTCCTTTTAGCTGTGAAGCAGAGCTGCTGCATCACTGTGACAATCTTACATGAAATATCAAATTGAATTTATAAAAAACACAGGAAAAAAAAGGAAATCTGTTGTGTTTGTTATGCCTCACTTATGTCTCATTGTCCTGCTTTTCCAGTCATGACAGCGTGCACCCTTCAAGGAGTCCCCTCAAGCTTCAGCATAGATGTTTTCATTACAGACTTCTCACAGGCTTTCCCAGTTTGATTAATGTGCACCACATTTCTCTTATTCTCTATGAACTGTGCTGTAATTCTGTATTAAAGGACCGATATTGATAAAGCCCCCTGTACATCCACAAAAGATGCACACACAGGTGATTTATGTGCCAGGACAAACCCCCAGTTCAGCTCAGTTTTTCCATTCCATTAAACTTTTCTATTTTTTGAACACTAAGATCATTCTTCATCACAGATTTTGTCTTGGGTAATTAGATTTAACCTATTAATATTATTTTACACATTATTGAAAATATAAAAATATGCAGCCTACAAGCACAAAATGTCATAAAACCAGATCGTTGACAAGACAGAGTCTTAGTGTGGCATTTTGAGAAATATGCTCAATGGACTTCCCAACAGTCGGTTCAATTCAAATTTATTTATATAGCACCAAATCTCAACAGTCACCTCAAGGAGCTTTATACTGTAGAGTAAGGATCCCAGAATATTAGAAAGAAAACCCCAACAATGAAAATTTGATGACAGTGGAAAGGAAAAACTCCCTTTTCACAGGAAGAAACCTCTGGCAGAACCAGGGTCAGGCAGATATCTTCAGAAACTGGTTAGCAGTGAGGAAAGAGAAAAGTTAGTGCTCTTTTTAATGGACAACATAAGAGAAGATAAGAAGAAAAGATGTCTGTAAATATGTAGCATGTTTGTTCATAAGCACTACCTTGACACAGAAATTTAACAAATTATCACTGAAATTAGCGCATTATATAAGTTTTGTTAGTTAGTAAAAAAGAAGGCTTTCTATTTGCTGGTCTTCAATGCACATAACAAGTGGAAACTAGAGAAAGTTAGTATTGCCATAAAACTGCCCCCCATCATCAAAAAGATATACGTGTTTGATTTAGATATAGCAAGTGTAGCTAAGCTTAACTAAGCTAAGCTAAACCAGCTGTAAGCTGATACAATGTAACTACTGCAGAGAAATTAAAGTGATACTGATCTTCTCATCCAAGCCAGCAACAAGTCAAAGAATATTTCTCAAAATGTCAAACTATTCTTTAAAATGTTATTTAAAAAACAAAACAAAAGAAAAACAAAACTGTTAGTGTTAATGCCTGTGTGGTCAGTGCTGCACTTAATCTGTAAAGAAAAAGAAAAAAACCCAAAACAAAACAGTAGCACAAAACAGTTCATCCCCACTGTGCCTGAAACTTTCTGGCTCCCTGAAATGATGAAGCCTTTTGGAGGCTGCCCACCTGGCCCAGGTTAAGAATCCTCATACACTCATGCACCTGTGGTTTCCAACCTTGTTTCATCGCCCTGCAAACATCGCCCTTCTGCTTATATGTTTGTTTTGAAGTGAAACCAAAACGATTCTCCTTTCTTATCTGCCTTTTTAAAGGACATATTTACTGTTTTAAGGCAACGAGGGCTACCGTGGAAAAGTCTGAAGTGATATTTATGTACAAACATGTTTGAATCTTTGACCTTTTTGAGAAAGGCAAGCAGGTTGGACGCCATTAGCTTAAATTCAACTATTTGGTTTGTTTGTTTGTTCAGCTTCCTTGATGCTGTTAGCCGTGTTTTCTTTGACAGTTTTTGAACATCGCTGCTGAAAACAGACTCTAAACTGAACTCTTTTTGTGTCACTGTAGGGTCTTTACCTCACAATACAAAGCGCTGTGAGCCAACTGTTGTTGTGATTTTGCGCTATCCTGGGTTTGGTTGTCATCATGATAATTCACAAGTCACACTGAGATATATTAAAGGACAACAGCAGGATAAATCACGGCAGATTACAGATGACTGGGTTTGACATTAAAAAATGGTTCCATGCAAAAGGGTAATTATTTTCACAGCAGCCCTAAACGACTGAGCATTTCAGATTCAATGCATTCATTCTGCATTTATTTTCCAAGAAACTACCTCTGTTTATTTGCTGCTGATTTTGGAGTGACATCTTGCAAAGTGCATATTTTCCTCTGCTTAAGCTGTCTGATGTTGTGCAAAAATAAAAGATGACGAAGTCACCTGGTGTTGTGATTTTGCAACACGGAGTCTCATTAATGGTCAAAAACATGGGGAGAAACAGTTAAGAAGCTATCACGAAATGATAAACGTTATTGCGTTTTTTTTAATATATATAAATATTTATATTCTAATCAGATGACAACTTTTGGATTAAACTTACTGACAACATCACAATAGTAAATCATGATAGTCTTTCTATCTATAAATGCATCCTTTGATCAGATTCAAATTCAGCAAAAGTTGATCCATCCGAGAAGTTTAATTTCCATCCGACAAAGAAAATCCCCATTTATGCAAAGCCGGCGAGATCCAGGGTTTTGTTTGACTGTGTTGTACAGCATTCGTGTAAACAGACTCCTAATTAGGTGGAACAGTTGCACGATCCAGAACAAATTGGTGACTCCAAAACTGCTCATTATCATTATTTACCCAGAGAATTTAGCCCCAACGTGTTCAATCAAACTTCTGCAAATCCACATATCGTTCAGCAGCTTGAAATCCCTGAACATGGCAACGGGTGGGTGTCATAAAAAGTGTTCAGTCCCTCTGATGGACTGAGGCCATGTTCATTTCAGCGTGTTGGTGACCTTTCTGCACAATAGGTTTGATGTTGGTTCTGGCAGTGTCATAATCTAATACTCCCCAAAGACCCTGTGGGCAAGACTGAGGTGAAACTGAATTCTCCACACACCAAAGTCCTGTTTTCCTGCTGCTTCTGTGCCGTGGCTGAGTGTGCACAGCCAAAAGCCATTTGTAAAGGGTTACGAGCCCATCTGCTGTTTGCAGTCACGAGAGATTTATGTCCGAAAAAACACAACAAGAAAGCAGTTTCCCAGCCTGTATAATTGTTTCAATACAGAGGATACGCAAGAAGGTGCAGAGTGGTTGATGAAAGACAGCAGTCAAATATATCACCAGATGGACGTACTGGTGCCAAGCAAAAAAAGGAAGTCTTTTTTGCATTAATGCCACCATAGCAGGAGTACAGGCAATATCTGACTAAACTGCTCTTGTAGCAAAGACACCCTTTTTATTACTTTTGAAAAAGGCTGGGAGTGGGTTTACAGAACTTTTTCTTCATATTTCTACCAAATCTTAAGAAATTGAGCGAACAAATATATAAAAAGCTGATCTAAAATATCAGGTTTATGAATAAGTAGTGCAATAAACTGAGAAGCATAGCTGTGAACCTCACCAAGAGCTGTGTGAAGTGATGCAAGAAATTAACGAACAAGCCATATTTAATCTGTTGATGTCCAGCTGACATGATCATTGACTGGACTGTTTGTAATTACCAGGAATCTTTTACCTTCCTCCAAACTGTATTTAAGTGGGATGGGGAAGCCAAAGCAAGTTTCTTTATATGAATTATGAAGAAATATTTGAATTTGTTACATAGAAAAGGAAAGTTTTATGTAAATAATAAATGGAACATTATGTATCACCCATTATCTAGGGTTGGGACACAAGCGGTAGAGTATTCAGCTTTTGTGGGATATGATATGCATATCATTTACATAATATGTTTAGTCGAAAGACAAGAATGGACAAAGGAGCAAACCTCTGTGAGGACCTGCAATGGCACCATGCTAATCTTTTTTTTTTTATAAAACGTAGTTAGTGGGTTTCCTCATAAAGAACTCCATTGGTGTTGTTCTGTCTGTGTTTTATAGGTTTGGTAAGTACACTGCTTTCCTACCTAAGATAAATAAAATGTGTCCTCAAGAGTCAAGAGCAAAGTGGCTTAATGGGGTGTGTGATTGATTTTAGTGATTTATTGTTGCTTTAGAAGTCAACAGTTAAAAAGAAACTGATTTGTGAAAGGAAAATGTAATTTGTTTCTTCTGTGGTTTGTAATTTGTATGAGGGTTTAGGTATCTCAAACATGTTAAACTGCATTTTAAATACATTTTATGGTTACATTGAGAGAAAATCATCAGCAGAACACAAAGCAACTGAACCGATTCTACAATGAACCTGTCAGATTGAACAGTGTTCACATGTCTTTAATAGCTGGTCCCATTTACAACCAAAAATAACAACCAGCAGACACACATCAACATTAGCAATCAATTGGAGTTTATATTCTGGCCACATAATGAATGTAAGTCCAATATTCATCCTCCTGAGGGAAACATCTCAGCCTTTAGCTGAAGGTCGTTCCATTATGCTCACCAGATAGTCAATAGACATTGTCTGCTTGGTGTTTTGTAGGTAGTTTACAGTCATTTTTATCATAGTATTAAAAGGGAAACAGTAAGGCTGGCGTTCATGGTGGGAAAGAAGCAGACAGTAAAGCTGTGGGTCATAAAATCAAAACAAGGAGCTAAAAGACACTAAAATGCTTACAAGAAGTGACGGGAAATACAGAGTTATGAGGTACTTTTGTCAGAGTTTCTCAGAGTTTGCCATGAAACAACCTTCATATTGGTCCACAGTGAAGAAAACCAAATGAGTCCTGTGACTCATTTTTTAAAAAGTCTTTTTAGATGCATACCCAAGCCTGCTGATATATTTTTGCTTTCAATAAATCTGCTTCCCATTGTTTCCACTCAGTAACTACACCTCCACAGACGCACTGTCAAAACTGTGAGGTTCTGAAAAAGCTCCTTTTTAAAGGGGATACTCACTCTGTAGAGAATAATGCAAAGATTCTATGTGGTGAAATAATGACATTTGTCTTTATTATTGTTAGATTATGTATTTCCGTTTGCCAAGACATGCATATTTTAAACTTTAAAATATAAAGGATCCCGGCACTGCTTTATATGCACAGTACTGCATCTGTGGTAGATATGAGAACGAGTTCATCTGGTGGATGTTAGGATCGGCAGATGTCTCATCTCTCTTGGCTGTAGCGGACAGTTTTGCGGTACTTAGTTTGTATCAGATTTTGTTCAAATTTCCGTTTTATGGCTCCATAAAAGTGAAAAGTGAATTAAAAAAAGACAGCTCCAGACTTAAGTAAGATGAAAAAGATAGATGCCAAACACGTGACGTACAGATAAATATTTATTTCAGATCAATGTACATATTTTTTTTGTGAACTCCGTTTCTCCTTTTTTCCTTGTTAATATTCTCCGTCTTGTAATCGAGCTTCTGAGCGAAAGTTTTGAGTGTTACAGCATCTTTCCTCAGTCAGATGTCAGCATCCAGTGTTGTGTGGAAACTACAAAGACATTAAATTTAAATTTTACAGCTGACAGCTCACACAAAAATCCATAAACCCAAGAATGTGGACCCGCATTTGTTAGCGCTTTAACAAATACCGCATAATGCAAGATGTGAAAAGACTACAGCCATGAAAATACATTTTAAACACATGAAGATATCTACTCTGAGCGATTAGCATATCGAGTGGTTTTCGGCTGATTTATGGGTACATTTGCTGAGAAAGAGACTTAAGATAAAGCAGACAGGGTTTCTCGTGTCATCATTAAACCTGGCAAATTTTGTGGAAGATGAAAGGCCTCAGAGTCTTGTGGATATGATGTCGCCACACCTGACCGGCTTCAATTTTCTGCCAGACATCAGACCCCAGCAGTGAGAAAACATGGGCAGGCTATCACGAAATTGCAAGAGCACACCTTTCCCAAAACCCTTTTTGGTGAATGAAAAAGAAAAAAGGAAAAAAGAAAAAAGGAAACCCGTTTCATCAAAATTTATGTTTACCTTTGAAAAAAAGTTTCCTACTTTCTGACTCTCTGAACAGCAAATGCATAAATGCTCAGTTCACTTAAGAATCTCTCGGCAGCTGCAGAAACTGAAGACACGTCTCACAATCTTCTAATAAGTCTTTACACCATTGCTATTTAGTGTTTACCACGCACTGACTCCTCCGTGAGATTTATAAGATGCTGCATAATACAGTGTTTGACGTTAGATTATTATTTGATGTAAGACGGTGAGGTTTGCTTACCAGCAGCAGAACGTTCGGAACTTAAATCCACATTTCAGTGTGATGAATTAGCCTGTTTCATTATGGCCAATAATGCATCACATTGCAGCTGTCATATATAATGATGGAGAACACCTCAGACGGCGTTCACTAACTCCCTCACAGCTGAGCTCACAATTCGCTGCCTGCGCAGAAAGCTGTCCTGTCAAACAGCTCTGATATGTAAATGACTCAGCTGGAAACAGACTCGACTGATTTTCTGTTCAGTGGAAATTATTGTTTGAGGCTTTAAATGACAAACCTCTCCAAGAATCTAATATCTCAGCTGTGCATTGCACTTTAAATAATTACAGCTAAGGATGAACACAGAGCCAGTGCTTTTAATATTCTGACAACTGGAACCAAAAACCCTGTTTTTTCCTTACCTTATGAACACTTCATTTCCAGTTTTCTCTACATTTACTGTGTTGATGACTCCTGTTCGTTTGGAACAACAGGGCCCCTGAGGAAGGTGCTTTAAACACACCTTAAGTTACTTTTGGCTTTTTGTTTACGCCTGTAAGCTCGTCCAGCCTCAGGGAAGGGAGTGAAAACAAACAACATGGCTGACACTGACTCTTTTGCATCTGTGAGTTTAGTACCAAAGCAGTTATAGCTGTGGCAGTAGTTATAACAGAGTGGCAAAACAGGTTCAAAAGGAAAAATTATTTGCATGATTATGGGTGTTGTGCTGTGTACTGTAAAACTATGTTCACAAACTCCACATAGAAAGCAATGCCATCCTGTAAATGTATTGCCCTTCTCTCTGCTGATTGATATGACATGAGTTATAGCTTAGGGAGCGTGGATAAGGTTAGGGTTAGGCGCTAGGAGTTTAGCTCTACAGCAGTAACAAAATGAATACAAATTAAGAGGCAATGGCACGACTCGGCAGGATCTATACTGGTTTTCTATCATATGTGCTATAAAACCAGTTTTGGAATACATCAGTAAATACAAATGGAGCAGTTCAGCTATAGTCTTTGGATAACCAGCGTGTTCACTTATTGTTTTTGAAAGCAGATCTGGATTGCGAACTTTTTACAGTGAAACTTATAAAAGTTTCAATATTTAGCACTTATTCCAGATCTTATACCTTCTCTGGCTGAAGTTTTGGCCCACTGAGGGCAGTAAAAACAAGACAATGAAAAACGCATATCGCTTGACAAACATGGCAGTAACTTTATCTCCCAGGTCAAAACTTGCCTGGTATGTCTGCAAAAACTCAAAAACTACCCCACTGGACGCTTAAAGGTGTTGTTGACAATATTTCAATGTCGGCCAGTCAGACTGTCTCTTACAAAGTGTGGCAGCGAGAGAGAAACAGTGATGACACACACCTACACACGATGGTGGTGGTGGTGACTGAGAGCTCTGAAGCTTCAAGATTACAAGGGAAATCCCAACTACGCCGATCTGGGAATTTCCCCCAGGAAATATCCCATTCACAACTGTACCAATCACCAAAAAGGCATTCAGGACCTTTATTCCTGAAGACAAAGATGTAGTTCAAGTCATAAAGGATTGAAGATTGGTTAATATTACCAAAGCCTGCTTACATTTACATTCATCTAAATGTAAATTGCATCTGATGAGATGGATTAGATGGATGTTGTATTTCTCTGGATCATTAGAATCAGTGCGGCTTGCTCCTGATCTCAACTTTGATTGGAACAGTTCAGTGTGTGCTCAGCTAGATCAGCAGGATGAGTACTGGCCTAAAGTTGTTTGACTCACATTTGTGTTATGTGGTTTTGTTAATATAGAATAATATTAAATAATTCTTTGACCCCAGGTTTCTGCTGCTAGAAAGTCTAAAAAGCACATCCAGGCAACGTTTGAGAAGAATACCTGCTGACCCTGAACTTACGCCTCTGATGTTTTATGCACTTTTATTCAGTTTTAAAAATTATATAAATTTTTAATTTACTTTAATTTTGGAACTACTTTTCAACCAAGGCTATCAGTCCAAGTGTCAGAGCCATCAGCCAATAGTTATTCAATGTTGAAATGTGTGTCATGCTTAACTGCAATCAGTGCCCAAAGACTAGACTCAGAGAACTGATCAGTTTGACAATGATTATTGAGAAGGAGGACTGAGCAATCAGAGAACTGGGAAGTGGCTCAGGAGGGAGTTTTCAGTACTGAAGCATGGCTGGAGTTTCTGTCGAAGAGGCGAGCAGGTGCTAACAGCAGCCAAGATGAGACAGGTAAGATCCTGCAAAGTTTGTAATATGACTCTGAGGCAGTAGTTGTTGTTTCCAGCGAGGAAACAAAGGATTCGGTGGGGAGGCAGGTGAGCTGCAGGTAAGTCTTTGGTTTTATAGTTGCAGTGGCTAATGATTGTTTGTTTCAGAGAAGTTAAAGTTGTTATGCTTTTTAAGCTCCTCTGGTTAATCCAGGTCAGTATATTTGAAAGTTTCACACAACCAGAGAACAAATGAAAGCTTGATGAACCACACAAGAATTTAGTAAGTCACAAAGCCTATTTACCACTATGATTGAGACAATAACCTGCCAGAGAGTAGCAGCATCAGCTGATCCTTAAACATCATGAGCTGTTTAGCCAGTGAACAGCAGGTGTGGGAGAGAAAGAGAAAAGCCAACTGTGAGGAAGAGCTGGCCCATATCTGAGAGCAAGAGCGAAAGGAGACAAAAACAGAGACCGAGAGAGGGAGAAGACAGAAAACATCAAAACAAAATAATCCCGTCCACACCATAAAACGTTTGTTAGATATCCTTGTAGCTTATAAAGTAAAACTGGCACTTTGGGGGAATTTGTGTTTCTGGATTTTTAATTAAAAAAAAAAAATCTGATGTCCTCCAGGTTCTAGCCACTCTCAGGTTTGAGTCTAATTACCATTTACAATAAAATGCAAATGCAAATTCATTAACTCATTTTAAGAGAGATTTTAATTGTTTATTCCAACAGAAAAACCACCATAAACCCAGAATCCCAACCCCTAGAGACTGCATGTGCTCCCACACCAAAAGCATAAACAAAATATCACAAAAAACCTAAAAATTTAAAAAATATAACAGTTTGAATGAGCAAAACAGTTAAATTCTAACTATTAAACCTGGCCACTATCTATTAAGTCCTTGTTACTATATGGCTTAAACTGTTAGCAGTCGGACGTACCGCCCACGGGACATTGGATGGTTTAGGGGACTAATAGGACTGCTAAGGGGTTAATAATTGATTAAACTATTGATTTATTTTGCCTTTCAGTTGCATCAGGATGAATAAAACTTCTTCCCCGCTCGCCCCTGCAGGCAGTCTATCCTTCAAGCTCTATCAGAGGCCTGAGAGCTTGAGGGTCCTGCGCAGTATCTTAGCTGTTCCTAGGACTGTGCTCTTTTGGACAGAGATCTCCGATTGTGTTCCTGGGATCTGCTGGAGCCACTGGACTAGTTTGGGAGTCACCGCACCTAGTGCTCCGAATACCACTGGGACCACTGTTACCTTCATCCTCCACATCTTCTCCAGCTCTTCTCTGAGCCCTTGGTATTTCTGGAGCTTCTCGTGTTTCTTCTTCCTGTTTTGGCTCGAGTTGGAAAGAGTCTCTGTTTATCTATACATGTCAGGACTTCTGTGTTGTGATTTAAGAATAAAAACTAACCTGTTAAGACCTTTAACACAGTGTTCATTAGTTAGAGAGGCTATGCTTGGATTTTTCTCCCAAGGTCACAGAGTTGCTTTGGCACAAGTGGGAAAGAACAGAAAATGAGTCACATTTCTACATGGACCAAAAAGGTCAGTCAGACACTATAACTGTGCAAGCTTGTAGCCAGGTTACAAGCACAAAGTGCTGCAATTCATCAGCCATGTCTATACAGAAATAAAACCAAACTTTATTAAAGAAAAAAAGGAAAAGAAAAACTGAAAAAAAGATTCAATTGTAAGGAAAATAACAAAAGCAGCAACAAAATGACTTTAAAAGCCATGGCGATAAGCAAGGCCGTAACCATGGAGTCAACACTGGGACAAGTACGCAAGATTTTGATTATTTACTTATTTTACAATAAATTTTTATCCCTTTGTGTTACATGTTTGCCCTTTTCCTTTCATTGTATGTACTATTAATCATTAATATTTGTGGAATACACCAGGCACAAATACACGCACACGCAGGTATGTACTGCCAATTTCCACATTTATTGATTTGTTTGTTTTGACAGCTGACTCAGTCGCACAGCCTGACAGCTCACGAGCCCAGCTGATCTTCCTCGCCGCTCCTCCCCGTCTCACTATAAACACAGCGGAGGGAGACCATCATCAGTACATAAACACCATCAGCTGTTCTTACCGGCCTCGCAGCGCCGCCCTGTTGAGCCTTCTGCTCCACTCCTCCCCTGCAGCTGCGCCCGGGGCCACGCCCCGTTCATTCATTCATTTCTCTCACTCACTTCCATGTCGTTTTCTGTCCGTGTCCACTTGGCCTCTTAAAGCCGAGTGTTATTAAGAAATGTAAAGTCATCTCTTTCACTGTTATATATATAATTAATGTTAGTTGATATGTTCTTGTTTTCTTTTCTTTTTTTCTGTAGTTGCCCATAAAAATCAGAGGATATTACAGCTTCTGTCCTCTTGCTTATAATGGCTCTCCCAAAATAAAGGCAAAAATATAATAAAAAAGACAAATGGATGAAGAGATGTTGTGAGCAGCTTTATTGCTGAAAAGATGCAGACAAAATACAGGATTTTTTTATCATCCCAATGATCCATTCATTGTAAATCACAATCATTCCCCACCTTTAATAAAAATGTATACTATGTTCAGTTATCAGAGTCTTGAAATTCAAAATAACTTCAAGCATCAACAGAAGAAAACAGATTATTTTGAACAGGGTGACACAGATACTCAAACTTTAAAACTGGGATAATGCTGCAGAACTTTGTTATGGTATAAATGTATATCCACGAAATCCATGGTATAAAAATGTAAGCTGTAAAAATGTATTTGGGCTTCAAGTATGTGTTTCATACTAAAATAGGAAGCATTTAGAGCTTGATGTTGATGTTGGGGGGAAACGTTGTGATAAACACTGCAGTACATGAATATCCCTATCATAAAGTGGTTGTGCTGGTGGAAGTGGACTCATGACAGCCGTATTTCTGTAATCCCACCATAAGCAATCCTGTATTAGTGGTGGAAAGTTGTGTGCAACCTGTCACCCGCACAGAGGATGGAGTCTTATCCTTTCTCGGCTGACTTAGTCATTAATTTAACTGCGGCACGCGATGTTTGCAGTTTGATCGCTGGATTTGTTTCAGCACCTGCAGATCCACCGCTGTAGCGATGGTTTCCTGCCTTATGCCTCCAATCCAATAAACAACAAAGCTTCTTTCTGACAAGCAGCAGAAAGCACGATAACTTGTTTGTCAGATTTCAGTCTAATCAAATTTCCCTGAAACTTAATGAACATTAAAGCAACTCATCTCAAACTAATGAGACGAGTTGACTCAAACTCATCTCATTAGTCTGAGTCAGCTGCTGACTTTTGTGCACAGGATCATTTCCAACATGTCTTTTCTTTTTTTTTATCTGAGAAAATTTGTTGACTCAAGCCTTTGCATTTAATTTTCTCACAACGGGCAAGCAAATTACAAATGACTGTAGAAGACAGAGGAGGTTGGAAATAGGAGCACAGAAGAATTATTGATATCGCGCCACATCCACTGCTTTCTGCACTAAGGGGGGAGTCAGCCCAGGGGCCTGGTCTGGGAATTTAAGTTAATTGAGTGCCACATACCTCTTCCAAAACCACACTGGGCGAGTGTTCATCTTCCATTAAGAATTATTGCTGCTGAAACATCTGCTTCCCCCCCAAAATGAATATCAGACAGTATATTAAAGGCTGGATCATCGGGGAAATCAGCTGAGCATTGAAGTATATCCGTGGGTTTTCTGGGTTGAAGGCCAAAGTCAGAAATAATCCTTTTCAAACTAGTTTAACCGTACTTGCATTTTGTTTTTGTTTTTCTTTAAAAAAATCCTTAATATTCCAACAGCAGTATAAACACTACAGCAGCACTAATGGAAGAAAATGACCCAACCACCATCAGCTGTTATTTGACTGCTTTTCATGAATATTTATCTCCCAAACACGGCCGTTCAATCTTCACAGGTTCGCTCTTTAACGATACAAAACAGACTTTAACTGAAACTGCTGTCTGGTTTAACATATGTACAGTTAGGTCCATGATTTATTGGATTATGATAGGTGATTTTTACCTTTGTACACCACCATGGATGGAAAGGCTCCTGTGATTCAAGGGGCTTCACAAAAACTTTTCATTAACTCTTTAGGAATTACAGCCTTTTTTCTACTTAGTCCCTCATACTGAGAGGCTCCTGATTGGATAACTGACTGATGACAGGTGTCATTGCCAGGTTAGGGCCTGTTTTCTTCTTATTTTATGACATGAAGAAGGGACGGCTGTAGCTCAGGAGGTAGAGCAGGCCACCTACTGATTGAGAGGTTGGTGGTTCAGTCGCTGGCTTCTCTAGTCTGCTTGTCAAGTATCCTTGGGCAAGATACTAACCTCAAGTTGCTCTCCGATGCATCCATCGGAGTATGAACGTGTGTGAATGTAGTTAGAAAGCACTCAGTATAGAGATAGCGCTTGCGAGAATGGGTGTGATTGGGTGAATGTGGCGTGTTGTATAGAGCGCTTTG